GAAGGTGGGGGTGCCTGGGGAGGAGCAGAGGGGTTTAAGGGGCTCCTGGGGGTCCCAGGTGCTCACCGATGTCGAGGTAGCTGATGGCGAAGCTCTGCTCCTCCGAGAGCTCCTGCAGGAGGGCACAGGCCCCCCCTGGCGCGGGGGCTCCCCCCCGGCTCCGCAGCTGCCCCAACTTCTCGCCCGCCGAGTTCCTCAGGGAGTCCCAGGTACAGCCGGGGGCTCGGCCCCGCAGCCCCTCCAGCCGGGGGCACGTCTTGGGGGGGGGCACAGGGCACTCAGGAACCCGCCAACACCCCTCAGGACCACTGAGCCCCCCCCCAGGGACATGAGAACTGCAGGGACCCCAACACCGGGACACCCACGGGGACCACGCTCGCCCACCCCACAGGGACCCCAAATCCAGAGGGTCCCCCCCAAGTTACTCACTGGGCCGTGGAGTGGGGGGTGCAGCCTCCCCCACTGTGGGTGGCTTTGGGATGCCTGTGCCCCTGCTAACCCCTCGGGGTGCCCCCGGGGCTCCCCAGTGCCCCCCAGTACCATGTTGAACTGGTCCTCCTCGCCCTCGGCCTCGCTGCCGTCGCGTGGCTCCATCGGCACGTTGTGGATCCGCACGAGCATCTTGGCGGCCGCGTTGCGCTTCGCCAGCTTCTTGGAGGTGCCGCTGCCTGGGGAGGGGGGGCCCGGCACCCTGGGGTGAGCCAGGACACCCTGCCCCGTCCCCACAGACACCCCGGGGGTCCCCGTGTGCCCCCCGGCCCGCGGCTCACCGATCTCCACGAAGCGCTCCACGCGGCACGTCATGGTGAACTCCTTGCGGTGCGCCGGCCCCGACTCCTGGGTCACCGTGTACTCGGGCAGGCGCCAGCCCTTCTGCACCACCAGCTCCTGGGGATGGGGGAAATTGGGACAGGGACACCCCCTGAACGGGGACACCGCCCCAAAAGGGGCCGGCAGCACCCAAAACGGGGATAACCGGCCCCAAAACGGGGATAACTGACCATAAAACGGGGATAACCGACCATAAAACAGGGATAACTGTCCCCAGGCAGGAACAACGGGCCCCAAAACAGGGATAATCAGCCCCAAAATGGGGATAACTGTCCCCATGCAGGAACAACGGGCCCCAAAATGAGTGTCACCCACCTGCAGAGCCCCCACGGGGTTACACTCCGACTGGGGGGGGGACACGGG